TGCACTCTTATGGACAATCAGGTATTACAGCAACATTAGTTTGGCAAAGAACATTGTTTCATTGTAAAATCAGTTTGGTAATTCTCATTACTTTATAAAGTAATGGTCCACTGTATCCGTTGTTCCCGATGTGGCCTCCTCTACATCGGTGAGACCAAGCATAGACTCGGAAAACATTTTGTAGAGCATCTGTGCTCTGTCCGCAACAAACGACAACATTTTCCGGTTGCCAACCATTTTAACTCCCCCTCCCACTCCCTGGGTGACATGTCCATCCTGAGCCTTCTCCAGTGTCACAATGGCACCACCCACAAACTGGAGGAGTAACACTTCCTATTCCACCTCGAAGCCTACAGCCTGCTGGCCTAAACACGAAATTCACCAGTTTTAAAATCTCCCCACCCCTGGCCTCATCCCATGTCCAACCCTCCCTCTCATCCCCGCCTCTTTGACCTGACACAACCTGCCTATCTTCTCTCCCCTGTATCCGCCACTCCCAACTCACTGACTGATCCCCACCGCTCCCTACCTGCACTCACCTATCACCATGCCACCTATCTTCCCCAGCCCTATCCCTCCTCTCTCTATTTATTTCCCTGCTCCCTTGCCTCTCCCCATTTCTGAATAAGGGTCCTGACCCAAAACGTCAACTTTCCTGCTCCTCTGATGCTGCCTGGCCTGCCGTGTTCCTCCAGCTCCATACTGTGTTATCTCTGACTCCAGCATCTGCAGTTCTTGCTATCTCAGGGTAGGAACATTGCTGACCTGAAGTTGTCGACCCATCTGGGAAGGGGTTTTTCAGGAACTTCTGCAGTACTCAGTTAGGCAATCATGTCTTTGAAGGCTTCCCAAATTACAGCTGCAATGTGGAGGTGTGAACCATGGACTGAGGGAAAGAAAAGAGTCAAAGGTCAGTAAGGATGGTGTACCTACCTTTATAGATCACCGTGAAATACTGTAGACTGAGTTGGATCTCTATTTACCAAAATGAATGGTGACAGTGGTCCAAATGAAAAAGGTAAATGTCCTGTAAAATACTTCTGAAAACTAACACGCTGTCACGCAACAGAATAGCATTTCAAAAGTGAAAAAGTCTTCAGATGCACTAGAATAGATTATTCAAATTCATTGCTATTTTCCATTGTACAATATTGAAAGATATTGTAAGCGTTGTAATATTGTAATGCCTTAACGCTCACAATATTGTAAGACAGAACCAAAAGTAGGCCATTCATCCCATCATGAGATTGAACATTCATGGTCACCATTGCTGATTTTCATTCTTTGCAAAAGAGATCATTGATCTGCATAACTGTCTGAAAGTATTGACCATTCTCTGATCTTACATTCATTCTTTACAGAACAGGTCAGCCATCTGTTTTACAGTTTAAAAGTGACAACAAATAGCCTCTAACTGCCTTCCAGGAAACTAATAATTTGTAATGCGAGGGCTGTTTGCACAGCTGTCCTGGATAATGTGAGATTGTTGCTTTGACAGATTTGTTAGCTTGTAATGAAAATATTTTTGTTTCAACTGTTTGCTCAAATGAAAACAGAAATTGTCGGATAAACTCAGCAGGTCTGGCAGCATCTGTGGAGAGAAAGCTGAGTCCACATTTTGGGTCCAGTGAACTAATTCTGATGAAGCGTCACTGGACCCAAAATATTGAGGCTGCTTTCTCACCACAGGTGCTGCCAGACCTGATGAGTTTTTCCAATAATTTCTGTTTTCATTTCATATTTTCCAGCATCCGTAGTTTTTGGTTTTATTTTAGTACTGCCTCAAATGTTGTTTATCTGTTTTGATAGATTTATGAGTTTTCATGGAAGGCAATCGTTGCTCATGTGACTTCTAATTTATGTATTTACCAAACTATTCAAAGATTTCAAGTTATAACAAGCCCTGTGACTTCTTTTTATGAATTGTATATATATTTGAGAGGTCATAAGCCACATGACACCAGGTTACAGTCCAACAGGTTTATTTGAAATCACAAGCTTTGGAGTGCTCTTGCTTCGTCAGGTGAAGTGATCAGGTTGTCCACAGCAGTCCACCTCTGGCACCTCCACATTATGTTTAGGAGATAAGGGGAAGGGAGGGTGAGGGGGCTGAAGGGGCTATGGAGTGCTGTGAATCTAGGGGTACTAAAGGAAGATGAAGAGTGGTAGTAAAGGGAGGTGGGGGTGAGGGACATGAGATGGTTCGGATAATCAAAGGGTGAGGGTGAAGGTGAGGGCTTCTTTACAGTGATCTGAGAAACTGGACCAAAAATTCAATGAATTGAAGCCGAATTGCTAATATAAGACCATAAGACATAGAACCAAAAGTAGGCCATTCATCCCATCAAGCCTGCTCTCTCATTCAATGAGATTATGGCTGTTCTGTTAACCATCGACTGCACTTTTGTGCCATTTCCCTGTAACCCTTGATTCCCTCCATGATTAAAATTCTTTCTACCTTAACCTTGAATGTACTTGATGACCCAGCCTCAACAGTTCTCCACAGTGGAAAATTCTACAATTTTCAACATGGCCACATTGGCATCAGCCTGTCGCCATCTCTGCCTCTGAGTTGCTATGTCCATATCTGGCGGCCCTTAGTCAGGCCATCCCACCTTCCAGGAGGTGAAAATTCCCACCTGCCTTCACTGTCAAGGGAGAGTACTGAGGGAGTATTTGCATTAATTTTATTATTCAGGAACTAATCGATGTTAACAATAGATTTTTTTTTTCCTTCATGCTTTGCCTACACTGAAAACAATAATTTGCTTTGTGGCTTTTTACATGCCAATGTTCTATGTTTACTAATACTTTCTCTTTAGAAGATTAGAAGCGCCAGCTGCTATTAAGGCATAGCTTTTCATCTTATTTTTGTGCTTGTAAATGTAAAATATATTATACAGATGCACAGAGAATTTCTTGACTCCAATGGGTTATTTATTTGACATAGAGAAGGTACCATGCCTGAGTAAGTGCAAATTTCTGTTTTACTCATTCATCTGATTTGCTCATATTTCATATTCATTAACAAAATCACAGTTCAGATGGTTGCAACTATGCCAATGAGCAAACAGAAAGTGGAAATGAAACCCACCTACCAAAAACCGGATAACAACTAGAGAAAAGGCTTAGTCAGCAAATCGCTGCCAATGGAAAATAGCAGAAGGAAAATTAATTAAAACTCTGCTTCTCACATTAACATTATCAATACATTTGGGTTTGAAAACTGGATTTCAGTTGTCATTTCTGAAAGACTTCCAATAATTCGGGGCGTTCTCTCAGTCACTGTCATGTCGCATTAGTAAGCTGAAGATTTAATACTCGGATTTTTGATGCACTAACAATGTAAAATATTTACAACAGCATGATTAAAAATACCTATGTAACTTGGTGATGGTGTTTAAATGACCAAAAGTTGAATGTGGTGGCTAGCCTATCTAACAGACTACAAGCTCCAGGCAACCTAATTTGTCAGAAGAATTTATTCTGTAAATCTCCAAGAACGACCTGTGTCACTTTCTGTCAATAATGGGTAGAATTTGATTGGCTTCCAAGCACCACCAGCTCCCCCGCCAGAAAAAAATCCTGGAATCAAGGAGGCACAGAGTGGATACTCCTGTCATCCCACCACTCCACCTCCTTGACATTCAGTCAGGGCAGGAAAGCACAAAATAGTGTTGAGTTGAGTCTCGGTTTAACAACTTCCCTTGTTACCTCGACACCAAATAATCAGCCTCTGAAAGTAAAACAAAGTTGCTGGTAAAGCTCAGCAGGTCTGGCAGCATCTGTGAAGGAGAAAACAGAGTTAACGTTTCGGCTCCGGTGACCCTTCCTCAGA